TTCGACACTTTCTTGCCAATTTCTCCCACAAATTCGGAAAGAAGAAAGAAATAAGAGATCAATTGTGGGGTGCAGGTACTAATGTCTTTTTATGCGAGTTAATTACTCATTATGGATATTTTTTATTTATCATGTATTCACCACTTATTTTTGTTCACCTCGAAGCGGTTGCACATCAACCCAAAAAAGTACGAGCAGAAGATGAAGACGATTCGTTAGATACACCAAGCGGGGGCAGTATGGTATGAAGGTCAAAAGCTGCTCATGTGGACATTCCATATGGACAACGGGGCCAGATTCGGCATTGCAACTACAAACCATGGCGAAAGTATAAATGGAGTGTACAAGGGCCTTAGAGCGATGCATGTTTCTGTCATAGTGGAGATGTCATACTGGAAGGTCAACGAGTGGTTTGTGAATCAGCTTAAGCTAGCTATAGGTAGGGAGCTAGCTGGCCATGCGGTAGCGCATCACGTCTTTGATCAAATGCAGAAGAACGAAGAAAAATCAAGTAAGCATAGAGTTGTCATTTGCAACCGCAGTGAATGTATTTTTGCTTTCGAAACGGGTATATGGAGGGGGGGGGGGGAGGGAGACGTGGCCACAATCGTCAATCCGTTACTCTACACTTGGATAGCCGCACCGGGGAGTGTACATCCCAAAAGTATAAAAATAAAAGAATACCCTGTTCACATGCAATGGCGGTAGCTAAGTCAATAACCATGAGCCCCCAAGTCCTTACTTCACCGAACAGGTGATCAGGAACTCATACTCGGTCAGTTTCAGTCCCATGCTAGATGAAGCTTATTGGACTTTAGACAATGGGAAGTTGATTAACCCACCTTTGCACCTAAAACGCACCAAGGGTCATCCTAGGACCGAAAGGATTCATAATGAGACGGATCAATCGCAACGCCCAAGACGAGGGTAGCGATGCTCCAAGTGTAGACAACCTGGGCATGACAAAAGGCGTTGCCCAAGACAACCTCTCTAGCAAGATGCGAAATTAATCAGGACCAACCTTGAATTGTGATCTATCTTAATTGTCATTTAGTTGTAATGATATTTAAGTTGTAAGCTTGTTTAGTGATTGTAGTGATGTTGGAATTTTGATCTATCTTAAGACAATTTGGAAGGAAGACTTAACATAGATCATTGATAACTCGAAGCCAAAACACAATACCTGACTACAAGAAGGACAACATGGACAGGTCACAGATCATGCAAGACCAAAACACAAGAACTGACTAAAGAAAGACAACATGGATAGTTCATGGAATGACACAAAACTAAAATAAACATAGATAGCATGACAAGTTCACTGGTTGGCTTCATTTGGTTCCCCGCCTCTCCCTCCTCCTCGTCCTCCACGGCGTCCTCGACCCCTTCTTCCGCCACCTCTCCCTCCTCCTTCTTCACGAGCTCGTTGGACAATTGCTAGTGGATTTTTCTGAACCCGACCCCCGACCGGAGTCTGCATAGGTGGTGGAAGTGGAGGTGGTTGAGATGGACCAGCAGAGTGGTAGTAGCTCGGCGCATGATGGGTCTGTTGCTGCGGGGTATGATACATCGGAGTCTGCTGCTGATGGTGGAACTGAGGGAACCCTTGAGGGAACATGTCATGTTGATGAGATGGAGCGTAGCTCGATGAACCTTCAGCGACCTCCGGTGCAGTTTCCCACTCATATTCAAATGGTCCAGGGAGTTTTGTTTCTTGAGTCGTACAAAGCTCTTGAAATTGTGGCAGAGGCTTGCGTTTGCTCTTTCGTGAGGCCTCAACCGGAGGCAGGAAGTGGCATCTCCCGATGATGGCATCTCCACCCGGGGCAGGAAGTGGAGGATATGCTATGACATCCCTCCTTTGCTCTCAGGTACGACTTAGGAGGTTGTTCATAATCCTTCGCAACCAAGAAGTCTTCCGCTCATCCATGGTGGGTGCACTATCGACCATGTGCTTGGCGTGTTTCAAACCATCAACCTAAGCAATTTACGTTATAAGTCCAAATTAATAATTAAACCTCAAATGAAAAGAATTAGACTACGAGGGAGACTTGGGATGGCTTACCAACAAACCCATCACAACACATTGCTTTGACACCCGTCTAAGCGTAAACTTTCGATACCACTGCATGTACCCACCGTTCTACCCCTTAGGTGTCGTCTCCAGCATCCCTTGGACCACCTAATTTTCTCTATTCTCCCCTCGGTGTGTTTCAAATGATGCAGCTCGACCGCTTCACGTGAATATGAGTCCCATATAACCTATACTCATTCATAATTTGCAATTAGCGACCAATTACGTCCACAAAATTGTAATTCGTTAAAATATAGAATTGTCATGATTACCTGGTTCCACCAAGGCTTATCAAACTCAGCACGATAAAACATTAAAGAGTGCTTAGCATGATGGTCATTTGTATTTGCTACTATCCACCTTGTAAGTAAAAGTACGGATATAAGAATTATAAATTTAGGATAAGCACAAAACAAATATAATTTATATCAAGCTAAGCATGGTATAAATTTAAAGTAAATAACGCTAACCATTGAATAAATATAAATATAAATCAAGCAAAGAATGTAATAAATTTAAAGTAAATAATACTAATCATTGAATAAATTTAAATTTAAATCAAGCAAAGCATGGAGTAAATTTAAAGTAAACAACGCTTACCATGGAATAAATATAAACTTACTTGACACCATACGAGGGATTTGACACGAGTAGCAGCTCCTCATCTTGTCTCCAGAATGGACGCGTGTCCTGAGGAGCGATCATTAGAAGATGCTCCCATATGCCTTGAATCCACCTGTTTGCCTTGTCGGGGAGCAGAAATCCACCCACCAAACTAATGAGGTAGACGCGTGCATAACGCTCCACTTGATCTTCCGGAGTGTCTGGGCCAATTTGAACCTCATTTTGGATGTGAGCAACGAGCCACAGGATCGATACTTGTCCAGCATTCAACGGTGGATGCCCCCTATCCTTGGACTGGAGTGGTGGTCGGCATGTCAAAGCCCAAACGCTCAAGAATGAGCAGCCCCCGACCTGCTTCGGGTTTGGTAGAACTCCCGATGATGGCATCTCCAGTTATCGGCAACCCGGTGAGGATCGCAACGTCTTTGAGAGTGATTGTCATTTCCCCCTCTGGAAGGTGGAACGTATGAGTTTAGGGGCGCCATCGCTCTGCCATTCCCATAAGCAGTTCGTTGTCGATTTCAATCTGCATGAAGTGCCTCAACATACCAAGTCCATGCCTCTGTATATACGATGACTGTCGATCATGCCAAGCGGGCAAGTTATTGGTCCCTCTATGAATGACGGGAATAAGTGATTCCTAAAAAAATTAGAAAAAAACATCGATTTGTTGTCAACGGAAAGCAAAATAAAACCTTTTAAAATAATGAAATAAATTAAATTGTTTATAAGGTATTTAGTATTTACCGGATTGTTGTGCCAAATTGCACGAGAGCGATGTGATTCTTGCTCGGATAAATACTTCGTATCTCTTGGCGCATAATGAATATACAATCGAGGATCGTATATCTCGGCACCCATCTATAAAAAAGTAATAAAATCAGATTATTTTGATTAAAAAATCATATTGTTTCGATTAAAAAAAATCACAAAAGGGAAAACAAGAACCTACCGAAGAGCCTCTTCGTCCATTTTTTGGCGGAAGCCGGACATAAGTTCGACGGGTTTGTAGAGGGTCGGGCTTTAGGGTATAACTCTAGTAATGCTTTCTGATGTGGTAGATCGGACTTAGCCGCAACCACAAATCATATTTAGAACGAAACTAGAGTGGACGAATGGAGGGAGAAATAAGAGTAGTGTGGTGGTGTGATTTGGAAGAGGGTAGGAGGGTTCTATTTATAGGGGAAGGGGACCGCTAGAAAATGCAGCAGGGAAGCCATCACCGCGTCTTTCAAACGCGGTGAACTGCCCACTTTCTTCGAACGCGGTGAACGACGCGGATTGCTGACGTGAGAGGCTTTGAGGCGTCAGATCTGGGAGGAAAACCAGAATCTGCGCCTCACTGCATCTGACCACAACGATGAAAAGGCTCAACGACGCGGATCCCTGACGTGGATAGTAGGGTATTCCCCGCAATTGTCTACAACGGTGAATGCCCTGCGGTAGTCCCCATCAGCGATCCGTGTAACTTCCCCTCTTTCGCTTAAAACGGTGAAGGCATCACCGTTTTTGTTTATGGCGATGATTGCTTCCCCGCGTTTAACTAAAACGGTGAAGGCATCACCGTTTTAATTATACGCGGGGAAGTTATCACTGCCTTTATTCTCCACATTGTATTTTGGGATTTTAGCAAAACACTAATTGCTCAACTCTAAAATGGTATATAGTATTAGGGGTGGTATTTGGCCGGTAACCAGTATCAGTTACCGACTTTACCGGTTTTCGGTATGTTGAGTGTGGGTAAAGGGGAATCAATTATCGATATCGGTGTGTAACCGATTTACCGGTTACTGAATTACCGGTAAACGCTTACAAACTAGTTTTATCGACTTACCGTAAGGAGTAGTTGCAGACGGTTTTTCGGTTCGGTTTACCTGAAAATTACCGAACCGAATTTCTGGGCAGTGGGGTGATGTTGTAATATTTTGATTTTTGTGATTTTTTACTTCATTTTTGTAATTAATAATTTATTATTAACTCTTATTTATAATATTTTTGAGGGCTATACTTACTTACTTCCATTCATGTATGTAATATTTGTGAATAATGAAGTATATGTTATATGTTAATGCATTAACTTAATATTTGGCAAACTCAAAGTTGCGCACTTGTCGGTATCAGTATTACTGATTTACCGTCGATATTTACCGATACTGGGGCCGATAAACCGAACTTCACCATTTGACACTCGGCCGCCGATACCGCCGGTTACCGTTTACCAGTTCGTTAACCGTTTACCGACTTACCATTTGTCACCCCTAATAGTATATACCAATGAATGTGAATCCTTAAATTAAATCCACCAACGACAAAAACAAACCCAACCCATCCATCGACAACCTAACGCCACTGCCTCTCCATCTTGACCATTCTTTTCCTTCCCTCAGCATTTTATCTCCTCATCCACCCGCTCCCCCCGCCCTCCATTTCACACCTCTTGCTTTTCACTCTCCTTTCTCCGCCACTTCCCACTCAGTCACTCTCATCACCAGCACCTGCCGGAGCCTCCCGCCGGCACAAAAGCCATGGCGTGCTCAGCTACCTCCGCCGCTCTCATCTCCTCCTCCATCCCTGCCACCAAATCAATGGCTTCTCCCTTATCTAAAACCCTAGCACCTCTTCCCAACTCCTTTTTCGGCCTCCGCAAGCCCCTCTTCCAATCTTCCGCCTTCGCCAATGCTCGCTCCTCCGCTAACCTCGCCCGCAGGAAGAGCTTCGTCGTCAAAGCCACTGTACGATTCTCTTCCCCTCCCCCCTCCCCCCACCTCTTCTATTTCTTCTTGTTGAAGAACCCCATCTGCTAAATTAGTCGGTTTACCTTTCCACATTGCGATTTCGAATTCCGATGTACGTTTTCAATTGGGTAATAGCTATTCTGTTTGTATGTTGTGCGTTTTGTTTGCAGAGTGAGCTTCCTCTGGTTGGAAATGTAGCTCCTGACTTTGAGGCCGAAGCTGTTTTTGACCAGGAATTCATCAAGGTATTATTGCTGTCAACTCAGTTTAAAAGGGGCTAATGCTGTGGTGAAAATGTAGTTCCTTTCTTCCTGCTTTCTGCATTACTCATTGCACAGCTTTATCCGTTTATAGCGTGGTCGGGATGCCGGAAGAGGAATCGATTTTGATTCTTGAATTTGTTGCAGGTTAAGCTCTCCGAATACATTGGAAAGAAGTATGTTATCCTTTTCTTCTATCCATTGGACTTCACCTTTGTCTGCCCCACAGGTTTGTTTTGTTCCGCTTCAATAAAATGTGTGGTCTGAATTTGGACATGGATTAATGGTGATAGTTCCTTCTTGGTACCTTTTTTTCCTCATACCTCCTGCCCGTCCTGCTTGCAGAGATCACTGCTTTCAGCGACCGACATGCGGAATTTGAGAAAATCAACACTGAAATTTTGGGTGTCTCAGTTGATAGTGTGGTAAGTTGAAGTCTTTAAGAGTATTATGATGAGTGAATACGTGCATTTGTTTGCAAATGTGTTCTTTCTTGCATATCCTAACAGCATTAACCAACCATATTTACATTGAGAGATGGTTCTCTTCATCTTGGAATGAAGTTCCATGTAAGTTATATATGATATTGTCCTGACAATCTGTATCCCTTTAGAAGCATAAAACTCTATATAAGGTCAGATGTGCTTGCATCCTGTAATCGCCAGAATTTTTTATGAGTATTATGATGAGTGAATACGTGCATTTGTTTGCAAATGCGTTCTTTCTTTCATATCCTTACAGCATAAACCAACCATAGTTACATGGGTGTCTCAGTTGATTGTGTGGTAAGTTGAATTCTGTGAGAGTATTTATGATGAGTGAACATGTGCATCTGTTTCCAAATGCGTTCTTTCTTGCATATCCTTACAGCATAAACCAGCCATATTTACATAGAGAAATGATTCTCGTCACCTTGGAATGAAATTCCATGTAAGTTATGATATTGTCCTGACAATCTGTATGCCTTTAGTAGAAGCAGCAACTCTATATAAGGTCGCATATGCTTGCATCCAGTGACCACCAAAAGTTTTTAGTTTTAAAGTTACATGTTAGTTTAAGCTCTGAAAATGCTTTAGCATGTTCTAATAATTTGGTGTCGCATTGTAGTTCTCGCATCTTGCTTGGGTCCAAACTGATAGAAAATCAGGCGGCCTTGGCGATCTGAACTACCCTTTGGTATCTGATGTCACTAAATCAATCTCCAAATCATTCGGAGTCCTTATCCCTGACCAGGTACAAAAACTCCTTCCAATCTGAAATGGGAGTTCTTACTATCTTCTTGCACGCACTAAAAGTAAACTGTTGCTAAAACAGCAATTACTATGCTTTGAAAAATATTGTCGAAATAATTACCGTAAAAGAAATATACTGTCATAATGGGTTTTCATTATCATCGCTAGGGAATTGCTTTGAGAGGACTTTTCATCATTGACAAGGAGGGAGTCATTCAGCATTCGACTATCAACAATCTAGCTATTGGGCGGAGTGTTGACGAGACACTAAGAACACTTCAGGTGATCAGATGGTTTTGTTAATCATGTCTCGGAAGCTTATCTTTGCGATAAACGTACTAATGGAAAGCTGGCGTTGGCCCTCTCTTTTTATATTGCAGGCGTTGCAGTATGTGCAGGAGAATCCAGACGAGGTGTGTCCTGCTGGGTGGAAGCCTGGGGACAAGTCGATGAAGCCTGACCCAAAAGGGAGCAAAGAGTACTTTTCGGCAATATAGAGCTGGGGGGAGTATAAGCCCAGTGTTTGATTAGAGCATTGTTCATTGGGAAGCTGGTGTAATTGAGGTTTTTGTTTTCTTTTTCACTCTCTATAATCTGTACTTTTTAGCGGCGAGACCTCTAGGAGTGCCCTTTTCGCTTCAATAATCGCATTGGACGAGTGCAAATTTGAAACATTTTCCTGTGTAACTAATGGAAAAAAGAAGAGTACTGGTTTTTTCGGTTCATAATTATGGGTTTAATTAAGTTTTCTTTTTGGGTTCATACTGTACTCTATCAACATTGTATGTACCTATCCGTTTGCGAAAGCAGGTTCCTGGTTCCATCGCTAACAGTATCCAGACAAATAAGCAATAGTCCCTCTGATGGGAGTCTCGGATCATCATCAAGCCAAGCCCTGTTCCGGCGCCATCAGAACATGCTGCGTCAGAGTTTCAAGTTCATAACTCCTCATATTATTCTAGTACAGCGGTAAAGATGGCTTCTTCATATTAAGTGTGGCTGCCTTCATGATCAACTCAACTTCTATTGTTCTGGACTGGAACGGGATTTCCCCCCAAATATACTTAAAAAAAAAAAAAAGTCTCAAAATACAATAGTTTTTATGGAATTTTTTCAATCTGCACATGTTCTGCATTGAAGGTGAAAAAGCGATCAACGAACATATTGCATAAAGAATAGCGATCCGTTGACATTGCTACGGAGGGAAGCGAATGGTCATGGTACTCGACCCGATCACTGAAGTGGAACCCACATTTAGACACAGATGACAGATCCCTGATGCATAAAGCGATGAACCCTTGATCACCTTTTAAGGAAGCGATGGTGAATTTGATGGGCTCGATTGTTAGAGAGCCCAGAGGCAGGCGAAGGAGCGGAATGGCGGGCGGCGGCGGCGGCTGCTGTGAGGTGGGAGGGATGGGTCGATGGAGGTTTGGGACTCGGTCAGGGTTTCAACAGGCAAACGAACTCCTGGGCTTGGGGTTCATGACTTTATGTCGACTATTCGGCATATTTCGGGTTTTCGGTTTGGTTGAGATAATCCTAGTTTTTTCAGATTTTCTTTTCGAATTCAGAATCGAATAATAATAGTTCGATTTTGATTATATTTAGTTCGGTTTGAATTTATCATACCGGATGCCCACCCTTACCTCCAGCTTTGCGGAGGTAAAAATAACCATAAATATGGATATTTACCTGAATTCGACCTAAACGAATAGTTAAATCCGAACCAAAATTATTTAACGGGTATGGATAAAACTTGAACTCGAATATTACGGGTGATTGGTGGGCATTGTTTAAAAATGATCATTATTTTTCTCTACAGATTTGATATTTATCACACATTATATATAATATTTTCATGGCATTGTATTATTCTTAACTAATTTTTCATTTTGGTAATTTATTATTTTAAACTTAACAATATATGAGTAATTGTTAACATATTGGTTTAAGTTATAAAGAGAAATTACTATTCATGGTTAACCGTGAATATCCGAAACTCGATCGTGTATGAGCATCATGTTGATATCCAATCTAGTTCTTGTATGAGTACGGAGTAAAATCCAAACTATTTTAATTAGGGTAATGGATATGTACTATCTAGTATCGATCCATCCTGTTATCGTCCTGTCGAGCTTCAGCGCAGGGACTCTCGTCGACCTACGACCAAACGAGAGCCGACCAAGACTCCATTTTGCCACTCCGACCACTAGTCGTCTCGCCTGATTCGTTGAAGGAGATACAGGAGGCCGACAACTCCAATCGAGCTCTTCGAGCTCAATCGAGCGGAGAAATACGTGTCGAACGTTTCTCATTGTCGGGCCGTTGCGCTCTGGGCGACGGGGTGACATTCATTTGGATCAAGCTATATATTTGGGCCGCGAACATCCTTTGATCAAAGTTTCACCTTTCTTATTTTTTTTTCTGGACAGTTAAGTTAGGGATGGGCTCGAACATAGCTGGCCCAACCGCAGCAATTCTGACCAAGTAGTTAATTTTTTTGAAAGGAACTTCATTCATTTATTTAGGGTTAATACCTTAATTTGGCCCGAATTATACACAAACTTTCTATTTTGGCCTGTGTTTTCGAAAATTGCTCTTCTGGCCTGAACTATGTACCATACTTCCTTATTTGGCCCGAAGGCAGGTTTGGCCGTTAAATTGGACGGTCAAGTCAGCTCACTTGGCCACGTCAGCGAACAGATAATAAAAAAAATTATTTTTTGAATTTATGTATTTTTTTCCTTTCTTATAATAATAAACATAATTTTTTTATTTCCTTTCTTATAAAAATTTAGAAATTAGTAAAAATAAATATTTTATTTTCTGCTCGCTGATGTGGCCAAGTGAGCTGGCCATTGACTAACGGTCAACTCTGTTGACCGTCCAATTTAACGGTCAAACCTGCCTTCGGGTCAAATAAGGAAGTATGATGCATAGTTCAGGCTAGAAGAGCAATTTCCGAAACCACGTGCCAAAGTAGAAAGTTTATGTATAGTTCGGGCCAAACTAAGGTATTAACCCTTATTTAAATAGAAAACCCATTGTGTCCCACATAATCCTCTTGTAAAAGAGGTACAAGAAAATGAGGTGGGCTCTTAGCCCAAACCTCTTCACCCTCTCATTCACAATCTATATGTGCCATAATGTGAGCAGGCTTATTCCTTTCTCGGGCCACATAATTCCAGGCCACAGTCCCCAGCTCGCGGGCCTTTTCGTTGATCTCCCCACAGATGAGCCCAACTTCTGTCTCCACATCTTCTTCTCCTCGCAATTGCTGAATCACCCCAAGGAAATCCGAAACAATCGCCATTTCCCTGATCCCCAACCTTCTTGCTAGCTCTAGACCAAAACCAATTGCCATGGCTTCCGCTTCCTCTGGGTTCCATTGAACCCTCGACCTTTTCACCGCCACGAGCCTGAATCCCCCTTCTCTCTCCTGAATCACCGCTCCCCATCCAGTTCCCCTACCCGCCATACATGCAGCATCAACCGAGATCTTCACAGGGGATGTTATCGGTGGCTGCCACCGGCGATTTTCAGATGAATCGGCCGGTTGATGTTGCTTCTGCTTCACCAGGTAATCTTGTAGCCATTCATTTGCTCGCCTCGTAATCTCCCATTCCTCTAATTTCTTCTTATTCCACAGCTGGCAATTTCGCTGATCCCATATAAACCAGAGGGCTACCAAGAGATCGCCCAGCTTCTCGTCAGATTTAGTCTCCTGGAGCTCGCAAAACCATTCTTCAAAGGTAAGAGCTTCCCCCTTCTCTACATAGGAGTTCATAGGGCTATATCTCCATACTCTTCGAACCCAATCCCATTGCTGGAAAATATGTTCTTGCGTCTCCCTTAAATCACAGAAGGGGCACTCTCACTACCCTTTTGTATTCTATCAAAAATTCGTGCTATTGTAGAGATTATGTTTCTCAGCCATCTCCACGCAAAAATCTTCACCTTAGACGGGATTCTTAGATTCCAGAGTCTCTTCCAGTTAACAGGGGTGTAAGGCTCTCCTTCTTCTTCAATGTTTCTGTCTTCCCATAGTCTGTAGGCTGATTTCACAGAATATCGCCCTGACTTCACCTTATCCCAGATCAACTTATCTTCCATAGGCTGTCGCGGGATGGGGATTTTCTGAATGTTTACCCTATCAATAGGGTTAAAGTGACTCTGTAGCAAGTCTGTGCACCATCCCCTCGATTCATGATCTATCAGCTCTGCCACTGATGTAGAATTTCCCCAGGGAGATGTTCGCGAGGTGACTCGCAAAGATTTGCTGGAGGGCACCCATTTATCGAGCCATATATCTATCTTATTGCCATTCCCTACCCGCCATCTCATTCCCATTTCACTGGATCGTTTGCCGCCATTAATCCATGCCACACCCAGCTTGGGTTTTCCCCCACTTCTGCCTCCAACGAGTTTCTATCATCAAAATATTTTGCCTTGAGCACCTTTGCCACCAGGGTGTCAGGGAATTGAACAATCCTCCATATTTGCTTACCCAGTAAAGCTAACTTAAAGCTCTGAAGGTTCTTAAACCCCATTGCTAGGGGTGGCTATACGGTCCGGTCCGGTTAAATTGGCCCAAATTGATCCGGTCCAGTCCGGTCTTTTTGAAAATATAAGGACCGGAGATTGGATTGGATACAGTCCGGTCTTGATCCGGTCCGGTTTTGATCCGGTCCGGTCCCAATTCGGTCTTGATTTTACATTGAGATTGTGGGATTTGAGTGGCCTAAGGCCTTAAAGGGTGAGGAGTTGGTTAAGTTTTGTACTAAGTGCAAAGGTTTGTGACCGTTTATGCAAATTACCCTTAAGTTTTGGGTGTTGAGCTCTCTTATCCGGTCTTTATCCGGTTTTTTTACCTCAAATCTAAGCCCAAATATTGGATTGGATTGTTTACTATCCGGTCCCGGTCCGGTCTCGGTCCGGGTTATACGGTCCGGTTTCCGGTTTTTAATCCGGTCCCGGTCCAAATAGCCACCCCCTACCCATTGCACCCAACTTTTTGGGTTTACAAAGCTCTTTCCATTTTAACCAGTGAGTCTTCCCTTCCTCCTGTTGCTGCCCCCACCAGAAATGAGCCACGACTCTTTTAACTTCCTTGAGAGTGCTCATTGGAATTTGGAAAACTGACATAGCATAAGTCATTTGCACCTGAGCTATGGATTTAAGAAGAACTTCCTTGCCTGTCACAAATAATAATTTCCCCTTCCAAGCCTTTACTTTTGCTCGAACTCGATCCACCAAATAGCCAAATACTTGCTTTTTTGATCTTCCAATGATAGTAGGTAAGCCCAGGTATCTTTGGTGATAGTCCACCCTCTTCATATTCAGAATTTCAGCTAGCTCCTTCTGCCTCCCATACCTCACATTTGGACTGAAAGATAACTCTGACTTGGTGAGATTAACCTGCTGACCTGAATTAGTCTCATATATCCTCAGAATTTCCTTTGCTTTTTCACACTCAGCCTTTGTTGCCTTCATAAACAGCATGTTGTCATCAGCAAATAATAGATGGGAGATCTGAGGTGCATTCTTCTTGACTTTCAGGCCTTCAATCTTCTTTTCCCTTTCTGCCTTTGTTATTAGGGCTGATAGGCCTTCAACCACAAATAAGAATAGATAGGGAGATATTGGGTCCCCCTGCTTCAGTCCTCTGCTAGGATAAAATTTCTTTGTTTGATGGCCATTAACAAGCGTGGAAAAAGAAACCGTGGTGACACAAGTCATCACCATCCGAACCCATTTAGGGTCAAACCCCAACTTCAGCATTATGGCCTCTAAAAAAGACCATTCAACCCTGTCATAAGCTTTAGTGATGTCTAGCTTAGCAGCCACATAACCCTTGTTTCCCGACTTCTTCGCTTTCATCGAGTGGAAACACTCAAAGGCTATCATCACATTGTCAATGATTAGGCTGCCAGGCACGAATGCACTCTGATTTGGTACAATCACCTCATTCAACACCCTTTTTAGTCTGTTAGCCAGCACCTTTGATAGCACTTTGTATAGTACCTTACATAGACTAATGGGGCGAAAGTCCGCAGGGGTTTGGGGACTTTTTTTCTTAGGTATTAACTCTATAAGGGTGTGATTCAGTTCTTGAGGGAAATTGCCCTCTTCCAGATACCCTTGCAGCTCTGTTGTAATTGTTTCCCTCAGTATATCCCAATTTTTCTGAAAAAATAGGGCAGGCATACCATCAGCTCCCGGGGCTTTTAGCGGTCCTATTACCTTTAAAGCTTCCCAGATCTCCTCTTTCTCGAATGGTTTTAGCAGATCAGCATTCATGCTTGCTGTGACCTTGCATGGTACATCTTCTATCACTGTCCTTGAACCTGAACCAGAGTCAGAGGTATACAATTTCTTATAGAAATCCACTATGCACCTTGCCACATCTTCTTGGCTGTCCAAATCCTTCCATCCACATCTTTAAGCTTCCGGATAATATTCTTAGCTCTCCTCTCAGAAGCTCGTCTATGAAAGTATTTAGTATTCTTATCTCCTAGTTTTAACCAATCATTTCTTGATCGTTGCTTCCATATTAGCTCCTCCTGAAGTAAGATCTCTTCCAGTTCGCTCTCTAAGACTTTCCTTTGGGACAGAATAGCTTCAGTTTTCTGCATTTTGTCAATCTTCTCGAGAGCCTTTTCTGTTTTCACCCTTCTTGCTTTTAGGCTGCCA